ATGCCAGCGGAGGATGTGATTAGTTGCAAGCTCGCACACGTCTGTCCAACAACACACTGCAACAGCAACACGCTGTAGCTTAGTAATGGCTCTAACCCATCCCCGTTTTTACCGGGCTGTTGCAGCAGCCTGACTCAACCAGCCTCGCTGTACACCTCCAGGTCAATGCAGGTGCAGACGACAGAAGGTGAAGTTGCCACACCGAAGGCAGCTCTCTGTAGCCAATTTCTCTGCCAAAATTACCATTTGCAACAGAAGCAGGCTCAATTTCAGCATGTGAGGCTTCAGTGCGCTTCCACTCCAGCAGCCCATTTCCAGTCACTCAGCTGGCTCTGGTATGCATTGCTAAAACTGCTCTCATGACTGCTTCTGCCAGAAGTCCCTGACATTAAGAGGACTCCTAACCATCCCTTCTCACTTCACAGGACACCCTCTGCCCTAGAATCGCCCCAGGACTCTGCGAAAGAAAAGAAGCTCTTGAGCAACTTGTAGAATGGGCTCCTCCATTGTTTGGGAAGAATTCTTTTCACTGCATTCCTCAGGCTGTCCTGACTCTGCCTCTTGCACAACCAGCTCTTCCAGCTTGAGCAGAGCTGGACCTACGATCTGTATCTTCCAACACAGCAGTTAATTTAGCTCGGGTTTATACCTGCACACACCCCCACGGATGATCCTTGGTGAAAAGGACAGGTTCTTGAAAGTAAGACAAAGCAGGAGCACGCCAGCCCACCTCGCCCCTTTAGTATGAAGCAGTCTTTAATTCAGTACTAATTTTATCATACTGCCATTTCAATTCTCTACTATATTTTGGAACTAGCTGTAAGAACATGCTAAGAGCAGGACCTATATGCAATATATTTGTTTTCACTAGCTGTTTACTGGAGAAAGTTAACTTTTAGGTTTTGGGATCCTTTCAATTAAACAGAGTAGTAGCAACTTTTAATTCAATAGCCCAAGTTTTTATTCAGTCTTTTTGACCTACCAAGTTTTTGTGAAAAATGATGAATGAGAGGTTCCCACAGTTAGTTAACTGGTTCACCATTCTTCCAAACTTATGAGTACATTGGGGGAAAAGTAATTTTCCTGTTCTAGAATTTAGGCTTGAATGCAACAATTTGTTTATTTCTTGCATCATACGGTGTAGTTGATTTGCTAAAGTTGTAGGATGAGGGATAAAGAGGGACTTGATATCAGGAAATGAGAACCCACCAGATGTCCTTCAAGCAACTAGAATTTGCTTGAATAACATTCCTTCGCTAAAAAGAGTGAATATTATACAGTTTAAGTAAAAATTCTTGGACTACGTAATTAGATGAAAAAAATCTTACATAATTTGCTCTTATGTAAGATTGTGAAACAAATAGTTCTGGTGGTGTAAAATATTTTCAGTTTTGGCAAACTGAAGGAAGGTCTATTCTTTGGGGCTTGTTTCTGTTGCAAGCTACACGTGTGCTTGATGGCGTGCACACAAACAGGGCCTAAGCACTGCAGTCATAAACAGCTAGCTGCTCACATACTATGAAATAACTACCCACAAAGTAATGAGTGGGGATTTCTGTAGGGCCCTCGTAAATACTTGGTCCTACAAAAACTAGCAAGATTTGTAAGAATGCATTAACATACATTAAACATACAGTAAAAACTGTGGAATTAATATATTTGCAAATTAAAGGTGCTTGTTTGCCTCCGATACCTGGAAATTTTCCTTAGTTTTATATATAGGTTGGTTTAAAATAAAATTGCATTCAAGTAGTTTGTGCGCACACACATTTTTAACGTAACTTGCTTGCTAAAGCTGAGACTGCTCCATTCTTGGAACCATTTCGTTGCAGAGAAGACATGCAACACAGGCAGAGATAGAGTATCTGTACAGCTGAAGTACAGCGAGTCAACACAGTGGCTCTGTTGCAATTTTATGCATTTCCGTAGCCGCAGTGGGTGTGGATGAGCCTGTTTATGGAAATACAGTAATTACATGTATGCATATACATCAGTATCTCTGCGTGTGTATGCACGTCACACGTCTATACTTTCACAAAACAGAAGTGACCCACGTTGCTGAAGCCTGGGGTGATGATCTGTTGTGGCAGGAATGTCAAAATCACTGGATACACCCTTTCCAGCAGCAGGCAGAAAGGGAAGCTAACAGCTACTTTATACAGAAAGAGACTGTTATTACTACCATCAGTAAAAGGTGCTTTCATTCCTGGAAGATAAGCAAACAGACTTTTAAAAAGAAAATACTAAAACTAATTTGGGCTTCTCCTATGCTGGACTGCATCCTCGTTAAGTGACAGGTGCTCTAATTTCCACCTTCACCAACGAGCCCAGCATACAACACGATGATACTGGGGTCTGATGGGGCAGGGAGCCACGAAAGCTGCAAGCTGGGGAAAGGGCAACGTCTTGGGTCTTTTGATGGGGGAAATCTCGTCTACTTTCTGAGCAGGCAAACTGCCGTGTGGGGTTCAGGGCCCGCTGTGTGGAGCGGGGTCGCAGCAGCGGCCTCCTCCTCAGCTTCCTGACGGGGTACAGCAAGAGGCCCCTGCGCACCGGTGCCCGCGGCAGACACCACCTCCCACTGGGGCAGCAGCCTCACGCGAGTGTCTCGGGGAGTCTCTGGTGGAAAAAAGGGAGGAGGTGGTGACGTCCTGTCGCCCTGGGCTGGGAGAGGTGCCAGCAGCCAAGAGGGAACCAAGGCGGCTCCCAGCCAGCCCTGCTCTGCGGCCGGTGCCGCAGGCTGCAGCACAGTCAAGGCCTGGGCTGCCGTGCCCCCGGCCACCCCCCCCCAGGTCCGCCGTGCCGAGCGGCTGCTCCGTCTCCCTGCAGCGGAGCGGCAGGCAGCAGCCCTTCCCCACCCGGAGCTGCTTCCAGCCTCCATCAGAAGCTAGCTCCTGGCTCCCACAGGCTGGCCCACGCCCCTGCCAGAACCTCTCACTTGTCCTGCACCGCCCTCCACCAGCCCCTCATGAAATCAGAGGACAACATACACACCCTCGTTGTTAGTCCCTAGTTTGCTCTGTTACAGAGTGAAGAAACAGGTAAACAGAAAAAAATGGACACTTACCTTCAGAGCTTGAATGTTTTGTCAGGGCCAAATCAGCTGCCCTGAACAGCTATGCAAAGCAGTGACTTGCACTGCAATAACCTGCATCACTGTGCTGAAAAATCCTCAAAATTCCCTGGTGAAATTCCCTGAAATCTCTGATAGCTATTGCACAACTCTGGAAACCATCCTTAACTTCTTGTTTGCTTCTTCCAGCAGGGAGATAACACCACATGACGCTGGTAGTGCCCATGCTGACCACTGAAGGCAAGGGATGAATTTCAAAAGGAAACATTTCTGCTAGAATAGGTATTTAATCAAACAAGATTGAAGGTCATCCAGAGGTTGGAGGGTGAGGCTAGGCAGATGTCAGAATTAAAATAAATGCATTCAAAGAAGTACTACTGAGTACTTGGTGTGGTGGGACAATTTCCGATGTAGCAAACCCTCCATTACAGCTGCCTGGTTCAAGTCTTGATATCTAAATTTAGAGCTGAAAAACAGAAAAGGGGGCTGAGGCAGGGCTAGCATAGCTTTTGTCTGATGTTACATGTTACACTCCAATGTATTGATTTTCCTCAAAGAATAGGACAAATTGATGTTTAAAGTAATTTAGACCTTAAGACACAACATTTTGGACAACCTTCTGCCACAGAATACACTTTAATTTCTCCTTAATTTGGAAAAAGTTTTGTTTCATTAGAAATGTCAGAGATGGGCACCAGCGACCTGCATGCTGAAACTTCTAGCACGATGCCATCGTGTCTTTTTAAGTTTAAAGTCCCTTCTCAGAAAAGCGGTATATCAAACGCTTGTTGCCGAGCAAGTATAAATCACTAGATTGCTATCAACTTTCCAACTCCAAAGCAGAAACTCTTTGAGGCTGGTGTGAACCAACATGTCCACATCCTTCAATACCTTCTGCTATGTTCTTTATTTACATAGCTTCAACTAATGGTTTCACACTGTCTCAAGTTTAGCTTTCTACTCTTGCCCTATCTTTTTCATCCAGACAAGCCTATTTCCAGTGGCTTACTCTGACCCTGGCTGAAACTGTATCTTCAGGGATGCCTAGTCCTTTTCTGCCCTCTACATTACTAAAATCCTTGTGAAGCAGATCACTAGAGGTGACCTTTGTCTCTCCCTTCTTTATTTTTAACCTTTTTTTTATTGTTTCATTTACCTGTTGGCTACTTTCTCTAGCATTTTAAAACTCTGTTTCTTAAACCATGGAAAACTTAATTTTCTTTAGGTATTTATAAAAGTCAACATCGTATTTTTTTAAAGCTGGAGACAGTCTTATAAAGTAAAATTCTGTCCAGGTATCTACAGTTTCCCAACATGATTATTTTACCTCCAGCTTAAACCTCCATTTCCGACTCTTAAAATGCATACACACACTTCAGCTGCAAGGATTTTTCTTTTTCCTTTGTGACATTGTTTCCTACTGAAATCCTTCTGTAAAAGTTACAATTTTGGCACGAAGGACCAATTTTTGACCTGCTTAAGCAGCAAGGTTCTTTTAGGAGAGCTGTAATACAAATGTTGAGAAGTGGTTAGCATTGGTACAATGTTGTATCTCATTTGCACCCCTGGCGGATCCCCCCTCACCACTTTCCCAATCCAAAAATAGCCTCCTAGTAAACCTGTTACACTTTTCACACTCACAAGTCACTGCTTTCCTTCTTCCGTGGGCGCTGTATGAAGGAGATCTGAATTCCCACGTCAACACCTCGGGCGCAGCTGTCTGAAGACTCTGCACACGGCCGCGGTTAGATCCCAGCACATCACTGCCCAAACCCTCCCTTTAAATCGCTATTACCTCGACAGCTCATCCATCAAAAAAGAGCAGCCCAGAAAGTTCTCTTCCCCAAGACAGCCCGAGATGCTTTTTAAATTAAAATCTCATTTCATCTGTTGACTTACTTATTATAATTGATTATATTGGCAGTGCTTTGTATAGAAGCAGTTTTATTGAAAAGATTGATTTTTTTCATAAATAAAAAAGGATATATTTCAAACTTTTTTCACACAGGAACAAAAAAACGCTGAAAGCTTTTAGAAATGAAAATTAACAATACAAAAATTAGGCTATCAATGTTAAATACTCTAATTTTTTTTTTTTTACTACTAACTGAAATACATTTATATCTTCTATCGGTATAAAAATCTTCATAGCAATGGGTAATACAACATGAATATTTCCTTTAAGCGAACGTATTCACATCTTCAATACAGAGTGACTCCCGGCAAGTCTCATCAGTCTATGCCTTTCTCTTTCGTGGAGTTCCATTAAGTTCTGAAGTGGCTATTTGCAGTGGTTGCTGCTGCTGCTGCCCCTTCATGGGAGAGGAGATCCAGTCTTCCGAGCTAAATAAAAACATAGCACAGTAGATTATAAACCAAGCCCTTTTTTCTACATGTATATTCTATTTTTTAAATTTTAATATATATATGTGATATAATTGATGCAAAAGCACAGCACTCCCACTAGTATAAATATTATGAACACCATTATTTGTGCACAGCTTCTTATTCTTGTAATTACTGTGAAAATGAGGACTAGAATCAGGCTAATATTAGTTTAAACAGATAACCACTTAAGTTCTATACATAGTTAAAAAAAAATAAAAATAAAGAGACATAGTAATGTAGTGAAAACTCATTCTGAGATTTACAGAACACAAGTGAGTAAGATTTAAATAATCTCAAAAATATGACCACAGTTCAGCAAAGACAATGATGCATTCATGAGGAGAGACAGGAGAAATGGAAAAGTCAGTTCCATGTGATTTTAAAGATACAGCTCACAGATTTCCCTGATTTTTGTTTTGGTTTTTGTGTGTACAAATGCTCATCAGCCCCAGAGGCAATGAAGGAGTAGATACAAAGGTAAAGGGATAACTGTGTTAAACGCTTTACAACCTCAGACAGTTACTTAGAAAAAGTTACGTAAGAATGATTCTTGCTCTGTTCTTTCTACGTTCATCTGCCCAGTGCCTGACACTGAACCTTAAAAGAGTTTACAGACCCAGCCATCTCGAGTACTTCTGGGGTGTGACAGAGGTGAATATACCAGAAAGCATGGGAATGTCAATGCACAAGGATACCAGTCAATCAGTTCATAAAGAGCAACAGAAATAGAATTAGCAAGCAAATCTTTATGTCAAGCTTAAGTAACAGCAGAAACTTTAAAGGAAATAAAAATTACCTTGAAAATCAGCCTTATGCAAACTCTGCTCAGTGTTGGTTATTGGGGTTTTTTTAATATTATACAAATACGAATTAAAATAAAAATCTCCCATGCAAAAAACCCAAACTGGTTTTTGCTTGAAATTCAGGATATGGAAAGTAGTGACTAGATTCAGAACAGACTTACCCATACAACTTTTTTACTGTTTCTCTTCGCATTCTTTTGGGAGGGATGGGGGTGTCAGACATATCTAACACTATAGGCTGAAGCAATGATTCAGTGACTCTATCTGATGGAGTCATACCTATGAAAAAGTGGCAAGAAAGAACAAATTTATCCTATTGGTTACAAATGGGCCCCCTAACGGTAGCGTTAAGCGTCTGAAGTGAGGCTTTAGACACGCCACAGATTTTATAGTTACCTTATGGCTGAAATAGAGTTCAAGTACGACAGGTAAAACCATGTGCTTTATTTATAGTTGTCACAGAGTAAGTGTCAGGTTTTTAGACATATTTTGAAATATCATAAATTATTTTATATTGACATAAAAACCATTTCTAACGAAGAAATACTACCCTTGCACAATTAAGGGTGTTTCTTTTTATAGTACAGTGTTTTGATTGTGTTTCCTTAGCAAAAGCAATTCAGCTCTCTACTATGCAATGATTTCAGAAAGAATGTCCATGTTCTCTACCACCGGGGCAGCCAGACTAGCAGTTACATAATCTCCTGTGAGTGAGATCACGGTTTCATCTTCACAAGACACTGACCACATTTTTCTTATCTGAACACATTACAGGGCAGTGCTGGTCGAGGCAATA